GAAATTACTCCTGGAAATCAACTTTGAACGCGGCACTACCAAAACTTTTATAGCTCACAATTTTCTTTTTTTTTCGAAGAAAATGAGATATAGCAAACTTTCCCATAGAAGGCCATCTTATACTTGATCTCAATTATCTCAACTTCTCTAAGGGATATCAAAATGTGTCAACTGATAAAATGATGATGATATCATGACAAACATTATATCCGTCAAAACTTTCTTGATTTTTTAATAAAAACTGAGATAATTAAGCTCAAAATGCAAGTACAGGGTGGCCTTCTTTTAGAGTGGTCCCGGTAATTGAGCTCAGAACATATACTTAAGATGGCGTGCTATTAGACACCTAATTATTATACTTGACATTTGCTTTTGAAAATACTATTTATTTTCAGGAAATTCGGTAATGAAAATATCTCCGAATCAACAGTTTCCTAAAGAATGAACTTTTCAGAGCCAGTAGTGGCAACTAAAACTCAGATATAGTCTATTCTTACAGTAAACGAAACATTTGGATTTGGAATGAATCATCAACACCTTTTAGAAATTTATGGGACTTTCTGTCAAAATAATCGAGTTCGCTACAGTATTTTTTTTAATTCTCGGTTCATGTGCCTTACATCAGACAAAATAACATCAAGCGTTCCTTGAAATCTGGCCAAAGACAAAAGGCGTTCTCCATAAACATGTTTTGATAGTTTAAACCAACTGAGAACAAAAAATCGTTCAACGCATAAAAACACCGGGTGGTCCGAAACTCACGTGAGAATGTCTCATAATAGTGTTACAGTATGGTCGAAGTCTGCCGTGCTCATCGGACGGACAGCATGCTGGAGGGAACTGATATCGTCCTTTGTTCAAATGGTACCAGCCGGAACTGTTGAACTCTCCGATTTTGGAATCAACTCCGCAGCAAGATTTCTGAAAATTAGAATTTTCAGAGAAAGATTAGCGAAGCGGATAGAAATTGTATCTTCCCTTGAGTTGCGAATGTCTAGAACTTCTATGATTTTGTGATACTGGTTAATAACGGAACGATGCACTTATTCGAGATTTTCAGCGTGAATTTTGATTATTTGGATTGATCAACATCCGTTCAATCATCCAGAATTGTCCGTACCTCAATCATAATTTTGTCCCATGCAGTTTTCACCAACAGTCCGTCCTGTCCATCACTTGTGACTTTCATGTTATCCGTTCCATTGTACATTTTCAACGAAGAATGTAAAATATCTCGGAAGTCGTTTTCGAACTGCAAATAAACAACGCCAATAGATGTCAAAACAGGAAAAAGGTTTTTTGAGCTTTCAACTTACCATGTGACTGTGAAGGAAAGCGTAGATTGTGGCAGCGATTTGAATGGCAAGAATCAGCATTAGGCATGAAGAGTACTGGAAATAAAGAAATTGAACGATTAAAAAATGCTTATCTGATCTGATAGAAACCCACTTCGCACATTTACTTTGAGTTCAATCATCTCCCTTCCTTAGAGAGATATCAAAAATTTATCAACTGATAAATTATTTATCATAGTATTACTGATGTTTTTTCAATTGACAAAATTTTGATATCTTTCACAAGAATTGATATAAATTGACTCAAAGTTGATGGTTTGGGTGGACTTCTGTTGAATTAAATGCGGCATCATCTGTTCAACAGCATTGACAAGAACAGAGATATCTGGTTAACGGAGTTATTGTGTGGTTTTTTCTATCAAGTATTTGACAGTTATCGTATTTCCTCTAATTGAAGGGCTTCTATCTTTCAACCTGAGGGTTGGCTTCTATTAGAAGTTGGCTTTAAATAGAAGTGCGCTTTTATTAGAGGAAATACGGTATTTAAATTTGTTTGATAGTCTGGTACTCCAACTCACTAACTCTAGGGTCAATTGCCTCGAAGTTGTATTTTTGTTCTATTTAATATTTGAATTAACTCACACAGCATAACAGCGGTCTCCACTCTTTCGCTGCTCCACAACATCCTAAGAAAGCTACTATGATCACAATCAAACCACCACCAAAAAGAAGATATCCGAATTGACGAACTGCGGTCGGTTTTGTGGCCTCAAATTACATTACTAATGAAGATGATTATGCGATTTTCAAACCAAATCTCTCAACCCGGCATCTTGATCGTATCCTTGAACTTTAGCAGTGGCGAAAGCCAAATTGTCAATTGCATACTTGTCCAGGACCAGCCATGTTCCAATACCAAGACATATCAGACCGCAGAGCTGGAAAATAGTATCATTCTCAATAAAAAAATTGGTTTTGATCTTTTCATTCAGCCTATTAGATGCGAATTTCCGGTGGTCTCCCGAGAAACCTCAAAATATCTTCTCACTGGTAACAGTTGGCGAACCATTAGGCATTCTGTTGCCAAACATTGCGCCCCAATTTATCAAAATCACACGATTCCCCTCCCGTCACCATTCAGATCAAAAGACTCCGCCACTTACCAGAAACACTAAATTGAATATGAATAATGAGAATTTTAGTGCTCGTGCCGTACAACTCAATGGCATTCTGCGTGTGTTGTTTCCTGAAGTAAAGGAAGAAGATGAGAACATGAACAAGAAAACGAAAAAACGTCAATGACATGTGTTATAAAAAAAGAAAACGAAGTAAAATGAGAAGAAGAATCGAGACTGGTTCGAACAAAAAAGTGTGGGAGAGGAGAATTTGGGAACAGGTGTTCAGGGAAGATAGAAGGGACCAATTTGACTCGTGGTATAAGTGGTTCAGGTACTCTTTGGATAAAACTAAAAGTCAAATTTAAGATAAAACCGCATCTGGGACTGATTAATGACCAGCTTTGAAAAGAGACACATGTTGAATTGAGATGTGTGACTTGATGTACTTTTCGATATCAAAGAAAACGAAATAGCTGAAAATAAACCCATTAGAAAAATCGGATCGAGTTCAAATACTTGATTGAAATCAGCTGTCGGTTTGTCAAATACTAATGTGACGCGGGAAAAGTGATGCGCGCGCTCAAAAAGGATGGGCTCCAAGTGCAAATGAAATTGAAAACGACGGTCTGACTTACGCCGCCAGGTGAGGAAAACGAGGTGTTAGGTTTCATGCTGATCCACATTTATGGTCCGTTTTATAATGTGAGAATCGAGGAAAAAGAGCAAAAGTTCCAGCGAACAGGTAGAGTGGAGTAAGGGGATGGAATACGAGAATAGAGGTATTTACTAGTTTTTGCAAAAAGGATGTTTGAAATTGAATATGGAATATTGACGTAAAGTGGCGAACACGTGAGAGTTGACGAATTTTATTTTCTGTTCCAAACGTTGTAATCCAAAGGGAAACTAGTGACAATTTCCAATAGTTAGAAGCATCTAGCAGATATGCATGCATAACTATACGAACAAATTAGACGGACCATGCCTCAAAATCAAATTTTCTCCACAACAAGGAAAAAGAAAATAAGAACCAGAAAATGAGGGAGGAGCACCACCCCTCCCCTCTTGTTTCCGACGACACCAAGATTTCTCCACATTCCACGCTAAACTATGCGAAACGGATAACTGAGGGCGCAAAGGATGTGGGTTCGGAATTAGTGGTCCTCTCTATCTCGCTCTCTATATATCCTATATATCTCTTCTTCGAAAGAAGACACTGTGCACAGCGGAGAGATGGCACAACGAAATCATCGCCGAGTCAGAGAGTAACAACAGTTGTTAACTCGTTCTTGCCACTGGCAGAAGAAAAGAAAACGATGCAAAGATTGGGTGCGGGAAAAAGCGAGGAAGGAAAAATGAAAGGATAAGAAGGATGTGTTGGCAGAGATGGAGTAGATCCGAAGACATCAAAGATTTCGATCATTTACTAGATATTCATGATTGTCGTGGGTGTTGATGGCACTAGTGACAGGTGAAAAATTTACGCCTTGGTGGGAAAAATGAAACTTCACCGGAAAGATGTCTTAGGTGCGTTCTTTCAATGGGTTAAAATTTTAGATGAGAAACAAAATTCAACAAATATTGATAATAATAGTAAGAAGTTTATTGATATTTCCAAATATGTGAAACATTTTGTTGGCTGAGGCGAAAAATATTTGATAGTTTTCTGTACTCCAGTTGTCAACTTTGAGCTCAATTATCTCAATTTTTGTGAAAGATATCAGAAATTGGTCGACTGATAAAATGACGGTCGTATTATGATACAAAATTTATCAGTTGACGGAATGTAGATATCGTTCACAGGAAGTGAGATATTTGAGCTCAAAGTTTAAGGTTTGAAATTTCTCCAAAAAAAAGCACACAGTCCCGGAAAAGCTTACCGAAATTGATAATTTTGAGCTTGGTTATCTCGATTCGAATGAAATATATATTCGAAATCTGTTCACTAATGAAATATACGAGGTGTTATGACAAACATTTTAACAGTTGACAAATATTTGATATCTCTCATTGGAATCGAGAATATTAAGCTCAAAGTTAACAGTTTGGGTGGGATTCTATCAGAGGAAATACGATATTTTTTTATATCTTGTTATCAATAAAAAGCATGAGTCTCCTCGTCGTGGCCTCCGGTTAGAGGAACTACAGTAGACATCATCAGTTGGCTAATTTTAATTGAAAAGACAAAAAAAAACATGTGACTTTTTTATTCTTATTCTAATGCCCCTTTAAAATTCTTCTTGGAAAAAAATTGGCACATACTTTCCTCTCCTTCTGTTTTCCCAGTTTTCAAACTTCACATCACTCCACAACCAATTTGAAACGATCAATCAATCCCACGAATATTGTTGTGAGACTCCTGGTGTCGGTGCATTGACATGTCCTCTTTTCAAAAATCTTCAGTCTATCAAAGTGATTGGAGATTAGAAATTATCAAATGGCGTTAACACTTTATTCTCTCTTAAAATTGGTTTCGTTTTTTACAGATGACTGGGGTTTTCTGGACGAGTTTTGATTTACATAGAATATCACGAACCTTAACGGGGGTTGGAAGAAGCGGAATATAAACATGGAAATACAAAAAAAGTCAAAGCAAGAGATAAAAGAATACATTGAAAAAGAGAGAAAAGAAGTTTACTTGTTAGCCTCGGCAACAATTTGGAGGATACGGATGAAGAGGTTGAGAACATCCAAATAGAGAGCAACGCAGGCGCAGATGTAGTCTTCTGGGCTGAATTTATACATGATTTGGTCCAAATCAATGACAAGAAGAACACAGAAGAGACCGGCTCCAAAGACGTTGATCACAAAGTTCATGGCGGGTGACATGAAGAAGATCTGAAAGTTATATATTTTTCGTTATGCAATTAAATGTATTCTCTTGAAATGCATATTTCAGACTGGTAAAACTATCAGAGATCTGACAGGTTCATCATGTGACTTTTTTTTCCCTCAATTAGTGTTGAGTTGAAAAACTTTCAAATTAGTTTTTGGACCAAACAAAGTCAATTGTTCAGCTAACTTTAAACTTTACCCACTTTTTTCTCTAGAAATTTTTGTTGCTCGAATTGTTTCTTTTTGGAATGTTGTACTTATTTTCGAAACACATCTTTTTTCAATCTGTGAGAGATTGTTTTATAACCAAGTAATAAACTAGTTATTTTTGTATTTTTCATTAATCAAAATAAGTTTCAACAAATTTTTATGAATTACTTTGAACTAATTCTAGATTCCTTGGTAAAAATATAGTTGCTGGTATCTCTAGAATTGGTTTTCCATCAAAAAAATCGGTCTAAAAACCGCCAGAAGCGAAAACCGCCAGAATTATGTGTATTTTTGAAATGTTAAGGTTTTACCGCACCGTCTCGTATGCCAAAATAGCGGCTTCCAGATTCTCTAGTGCCAGTTTTTTTTTTCGAGTTGACAATAGAAAGGGAAAGGTTGCATACCTGGAAAATTCCTGCCCAGAGAAGAACCATCAAAAGCGATCCCATACATCCGTAGCCAACGGAGAAGTCGTGTTTATTCTGAAGAGTGTAGGCAAAGAGGGAGGCCACAACGATTCCAGTGATAACTGCGGCTTCGAGCACAACCTTGGCTTCGAAGAGGGTGACTGAAAAAAATTAGTTAGATTCTAGAGATTATGAACATTTCAAAACTGATTTTCAAATTTATAAAAGTTTTGATAGTGGAAGAAGATCCGATAGAATAGGTAAATTTTTGAAATTTGCGCACTAAAAAACTGAATGAAGCAATATTCCATACTTGTGGAAAAGATGGCCGGCCCGCGGGCCGGACCGGGCTGAGATTCTTTTGGAAGCGGGCCGGAAAAGTGAAGACATGGCCGGCCTGCTTTTCGAAAATGTTGAAATTTCAAAGCGAATCACCATTTTTCGAGATGCAGATTGTTCTTAATAAAAGGAAATCCACACTAAAAGCTGATTATGTTTAAAAAAAACTGTTTTGGGGTCGCAGTTAGCAAAAACATTTTCATCCTGGGCTACATGAACATTGATTTTTTCACAAAAAATTCAATCAAATTGAATTTTTCGAATGATTGTATGTATTTAAATTAATATTTTTCCGTTACAATTAGCTTGGCACATTGAAAAAGAAAATTTTTCGTTGAAAAAGAACATTTTTCGAAAATTCATGATTGGCGGGCCGGGCCGAGGGTTTCAAAGCCAGCGAGCCTGCGCGGCACGGCCATCCACATGTATGCAACATTTTACTCACCAACACATCCCATAGTGAGTGCCTGTACTGCTGTGAACGCGGCCAAGAGCACGTAATTGAGAGGGACCTCCCGAGCATAGACATGAAGAGCAATGATCAGCGCGATCGAGCCCATCAAATTTGGGAAGACGACCCATCCGCTGAAAATTGTGGTTTTTTAGTAGTTGTTTTTTTTGCAATTTTTGATTATTTATTCATGTTGTTTGGAAATTTGAAGAATGCCGCGATTTTTTTTTCAAATTTCAAAAAGTTTCGAGTGCACACATAAATTTTTCAGTGAATACAGGTGAATGATTTTCGTACAATTTTATCAGTTTTTTTTAGTAGTTTTCTCTTGCCTTGGACCACAAATTTCTTAGAATGTGTAATGTGAAAACGTGAGAAATGAGATGTTTTTAAAAATTCAATTTCTGAGATTCATACTTGAAAAACATGTTCACGCTCCGTTTCGTCAGTTTTTGGTACACAAATGGTTTCGCATTAGGAAGGTTCTCATTTCGCTCACGCTGTATATCAAGCGTATAGGATTATACTACTGTATTTTCTAGCATTGATAACAAATCTGTTTTTGTTAACTCGTTACAATAAGCTTACAATCAGGAAGATTCTGATTTGTACTAAAACAAAAATTCAAAGGTAGGGCAATATGATGTACACAACTTTTTATAGTATCACAACCAGAACCTATCATCATATTAGGTTGGCGGGAAAGTCTTTGTCACTCTGTTTGTTTAATCACTGTTCTCGTATATGGAGGCTGTGTATGATATCGACTCTAGTGAATAACAAGGTGATAAGAACCTTCCATATAAACAAGTCCCCATTTCCTTCCCTGCTCCTCATCTGTAATTGAAACGATATGTTTGTTCCCACTGCTATTCACATCAGACATGTTTTGATTTACCTCTTCCTATCTCACACCACGATGAAGGATTCGGAAACTTTCTTGAAGAATGTGTACAACACACATGCCCCTCACTACAATACTATTCGCAATTGGTTCCATCGTTTCGAAAAAGATGACTTCTCGCTCGATGAAAAGGATCGCTCTGGGAGACCCCGTGAGTTGGATTTGGACAAGCTGAAGCACGCATTGCAATCGGATCCATTTCAATCTAGCCGTGAACTAGCTGTCACATTCGGAGTTCACCATAGCACAGTCCTTGAAGGTTTGAAGTCTCTTGGAATGAGAAAACTTTTTGGTCGATTCATACGTCATCACCTGACTCAAGCCAACCTTGACCGCCGAGTCGACGATTCGATTACTCTTCTCACTCTCCACGCGGGCGATCGATGGCTGGACCGGCTAATAACCGGAGATGAGAAGTGGGTCTTCTACGATAATCACCACAGGAAATCCCAGTGGGTTGGAGAAGGAGAGAGCCCACAGGATGTCCCCAAACCCGACCTTCATCCGAAAAAAGTTATGCTCTCTGTGTGGTGGGGAGTGGACGGCCCCATCTACTGGGAACTTCTGCCCGAGGGCAAAACAATAACTGGAGACCTCTACACTACTCAACTACGAAACCTCAAGAAAGCAGTCGACCGTTCGGCCCTGAAAGACAAGAAAGTGTACTATCAACATGATAACGCTCGCCCACATGTTTCGAAACAAGTGAAGCAGGAGCTGATGGGATATGGATGGAATGTTCTCCCTCACCCCCCCGTATTCTCCTGATCTTGCTCCTTCCGACTATTGGTTATTTGGCGATATGACACGTGCCTTCGAAGGAAGAAGCTTCAATTCCCGTGGAGCGGTCGAAGCGGCACTCAAACAATACTTTGCCTCACGCCCGGCTGGATTCTACCGCAATGGAATCCATAAATTGAGGGAACGTTGGAGACATGTTGTTGATAATGATGGACAATATAATTAATTATTCGGTTATTTTTTCTTTGAGAAATAAACTATTGAAAAAGTGACAAAGACTTTCCCGCCAACCTAATAAATCACGAGACAACGAGCGTAAAATTTCGGCTAATGTAAGTATTAAAGTTACAACGATAAACAAAAAAAGTTCATTCAAAAACTTATTATTCGAAACTATTAATTTTCGACCGCCTAAAAGTTTACTGATGCCTGACTTCTGGCAATCGGCTTCAATGGCCCATCATGGGATTTGACACATCCTAAAATCCATTTTTCGTTCAAACAATTTCGAAATAACTTTAGAATGTGCTCACTGACTGCTTACCCTACTCGATACGATTATTTAAGTGGATAAACCTATCCAGAGAAAACATTACTTACTTTTTCCAGATAAAAAAATCTCTTACGATCTATGCTTCCATTTTCTTCTTTCTGTCTTAACTTCAAACCGCCAAGGACTCAAATACCTACTGAGAGTACGTGGAATGCGTCAATCGGGTAATCCTCATAGACTGCCCCCGTACGATTCCCACTTGGCATTAGCGTGACCTCCTAGCCAATAACATTGCCCTACTCTTCCTACAGCGCTTGCTCTTTAGTCTTTTTCAATTCTTCTTTCTTTTTTCAATTTTTTTTCTACTCCTACTACCTTCTGGCAAATTAATTCACAGGCGATTGGTGCCATATGTATGAAGAAATGGGACTCTTGAAAAAAGCTCGTGTGTGGGGGTGAGAGGGAAAAACCAAAGTGGTTGGGGCGGTGTCACCCTGAATGACTCCATACACTTTGTGTTCTTCTCCGTCCCTATATTTTATTCTTCCTTCATTTATTTCAACCAATTTCTCTTTTCTTTCCGCCACACTACTTCGCACAGCTTCTTTTTTGTTTACAATGAGAAAAAAAAGGTTCTCGAGAAAAGCATAGCTAAAGAACAACTAGAAAAACTTGAAATCCGATGAAAAGGTGTCGTCCTTTAATTGAGTTCTCCAACCCATTCGCATCTCAATCTATCCACTTGTTGTATGTCATTTTCTTTTTCTTTCCACCCCCTTAAACCTAATCAGATGAGGGTAAATACTTGGAAGGAGCAAACTTCTTCAATTTTCGAAACTTTCTGTGCTTGTCATTCTTTTTTCGTCAGATGCTCCTAATGTAACAACCCGGAAATTCCTTTTCTAAGGTTTCAAACTTCTTTCGCTTTGATTTTTCTACTTTTGAAACTTTGAGAATAATTAATTTGGACGTTAGATGTTTTACGTGATTTTTAGGGGTTTTCTCGAAGCTTTCGAAACGTGTTGTTTCAAAAACATCAACTGGTATTTTATCACATTCATTGATTCCTAGAAGCAAGTGGTCACTCTCACCGGATATCAATATCATCACCTTGAATAATTTATGATTGATTCAGTTATTTATCACATGTCTCCCATCTTTTCCCAGTCAAATTTCCGGTGAGAAATATGGAGTGTGAGAAGCGAAGAGAAGTTTATTGATACAAAATGTGGATGTGTGGTATCCTGGTGGCACGCAATCTACTTTTAGTTTTGCGCAGTAGTGGTGACCAAGCGACAAGGACTCTTTGAAATGTCTGTTATTCGCAACTTTTTTTTAAATCGTGACATTTTCTGATATACCGTTCTAACCGAAGTTTTGGTGTTATTGAATACATTCAGTTTGAAAAGTTTAAAATGTTTTAATCAAAATCAGATTATCTTTTTTTAAAGATTTATATCTTTTGGATTCATTTATCCTTTTCGGAAGATGGTTCTGAAAATGAGAACCGTGAAAATTTTTAAAAATTAAAACCGATGTCATATTATTTATAACTTTCAATTGTTGAACCCTGCAACTTTCAACTTTGAGCCAATTGATTTCAGTTAGTGTGAAATATTTGAAAAAATAAAACTCTAACAAATAACTTTTAACATTACAAATTATATTTCGCTAGTTGACCGTTTTTTTTAAAAATATTTTTCATAGAAATAAGATATATGGGCCCAAAGTTCACCGTTTGGGAGGGAAGCATCTATTAGATTGTTTACGGTAACTACATTAGGAATATTTTGAATAAAACAATTCTACTTTCCAGACACTAAAATTACTTTCGTTCAAACTTCGAGATATTTCATGAATTTTCCCAAAATAAGCATACCGTATTTGCCCCTCCGAAAAAAACCCACCTTAACCCTCAACATTGAGCTCATATATCTCACTTCCTGTTCAAGCTGCCTAAAACTTGTAAACTAACAAATTTTTCATCGTAATATTCTCAATATTTCATCAATTGACAGTATTCTGAGATTTGTCACAGAAATCGAGATGGTTGAACTCAAAGATGACGGTTTGGGTGGGCTTCTATTAAAGGAAATACGGTATCCATGACTTTTAAAATCACACTAATTTCGAAACTTTCAAGTACTTGTGAAAAACTTTCCTACCAGAACAGGGTGTGAAAATGAAATTAACAAAATTTTAACAATTTTAGAATATTCTGCAAAAGACGTTTTCAGAAAATCAAACTTAAACATTCCTATTTTTTGAATATTAAGCTTTTGGAAGTCAGAAATTAGGCCCACCTTTGATCACTAATATTCTACACAAACCAGAAGCTTTCTCGATCTAAATCCGTAGTCCATTGCGACTAGTATCGCCATAAAACTTCCTATTTTTTCAATCCTTACTCTTTGCACATTGCATATTCCGATTCCCACACACACACCTCCCAATAGTCCTTCGTTCAACGATGTTTTTGAAAGTGGGATAACGCTCTTTTTTCTATTCCGCTTCTTTTGTCTTCTTTTATCCTCTATCTAAAGCGTTCCTAACCCATTTCTCTTCAGCTCATCCTCGTTACCAAGTTTAACGTATTCAAGCCGCCACTAGTTCACCAATCGTTTTTCTTGGAGAAAAAAACAAAAAGAAAAAAAGCTACCCACTGAAAAAAGGGAAAGGCGGACCCGAAAGCTTAGTTTGAAAAAAAAAGAAAAAAGAGGAGGAGAAAACGACAAAAATGCGATCAGCAAAAGTTGGTGTAGCAAGGCAGTTGGAAACAAAAAAGCCGCAAACCGGCAGAAAAATATCAACCTCGTCACGTGGAACCATTCATTCTCAACAGAGTCAACCTGAAGATATCCAGATGAAGTATACAAGGTGAGGGCCGGAAGAATCATGATCGTTTAATTACTGTAGTTTTCCATTTCTGTCAGACTGTCTGACTCAGACATAAAATATGTTATGAGTATTAGTGATTTTCCTGAAGCAGTAAAACTAATTTGAGGTAAAGTATGAATGGTGCAGTTCCTAATCTTCGCAGAAAGCAAAAAAAAGAGGCTAAGGAACGTATTGAAAAATGACTTTTTGAAAAGGACTCAACAATGAGCACTTGAAAACCAACTGAGTTCTAGCTAAAAGGGCTCATGATAAAAGGACAAAAACTACTACAAACCTTTTTTGATGATCTAAACTACACGTAGTTCCAGTTTATTTTTTTCCATTTATAAGATTTTTCTTTTGGAAATAGGATTTCCAACATTAGTAAACAAATACAAACTTAATGAACTCCGTCAAAATTTACTGTAAAACCTATAAAAGAAAGATTTTAAGTTTGAGATGTGAAGTTTGAGCTGATTTTTCTCGATTCCTTTCGAAGTAATGAAAAAATTGTCAACTAACGATATGTTTATCAAAATAGCTACGGAATAGATTATTCCAGTTGTCACATTTTTCATGTTGCACAGGATCCAAGAAATTAGCTAAAACTTGACAGTATGGGGGCAATTCTGTCATTCTGCTGACAATAAATTGTCCAGTGATAATGATCATCATCGCAAAGAAGTCCACGCAACCATATATTTTCCTTAGTACATGACCTTCTAAACGCACCAATTACTCATTTTACCATTACAGAAAAGAACTGAAAGAGTACCGTCAGTTGTTCAACATGTTTGACACTGATGGCTCCGGCGCTATTGGCAATGAGGAACTGAAACAGGCGATGATCAGCATTGGACTCCATGCCAACAAGGCCGAAATTGACAACGTCATCAAAGAGGTAAGCTCCTACCCGTCGCTAAAGACGTCGTCACATTTGTCGTAGGTTTCCCATGGTCACCGAGACCTTTTTCGATTTTTTTACACATTTCTATATTTCGCTCCTAACCACCGCAGTCTTCCCGCTCATTCTTTTCATTCAACACATAGCTCTTTGCGCTCGTTTCTGTTGAATCCTACAAACTGTGCTTCCTGTCGGAAATCCGCTGATATTGTAGGCGAAGAAATAGTGATACGAGTGCAGCTATACTAAATACAAAAGCTTCCAAAGTCGTTCTTATCAGTCCCGCTCCCATTCACTGACACCCAGCTCTAGGCTATTCCGTTCTTATTCATTCACCGAAATATGGGATGTTGCTGGTCTACAGTCCGTAGATTTTTTGGTCGATCGGCACCGGTCAGTCGACGCTTTTCTATGAGCTCGTGGTCCAGTAGCTCATTGGCGGAGATTTACAAGAAAAGATACAGTTTCTCGTATAACAAACAATATGATCAGGTCGACGCTGATGGAAATGGAGAAATTGACTTCGAGGAGTTCTGTGCCTGCATGAAGAAGTCGCAGAACATTGTCAAATCGACCAACGAGGAGCTTATCCGCGAGTGCTTCGAAATCTTTGACCAAGACCGTAATGGAATCATCACAGAAAACGAGTTCAAGGTGAGAATTGGGAAATGAGGACCTTGACCACATGCTAATTTTACAGTACATCGCCAAGGAGTTCGGAGACTACGATGACGAGCTGGCTGAGAAAGTATTCCGTGAATTGGATGTCTCGTCCAACGGCCACTTGTCTGCTGATCAGGTTGGTTTTTTTTTCTGTTTACATCAACATTCAGGAATTTCAATCCTATGAAAATAAACATTTCCGCACATGTCAACTTTTTTAGTTTGCCACCATCGTCGAAGACTACTTGCTCAGCGACCCCGTCAAATACGAGACCGATGGCGGAGACTCAGATGTCGAGAGATACGAAGATCGTCGTGATGACCGTGCCAGCCCGATGCCAAATCACTTGCCAACCGTTCAGGAATGATTTTTCTATCATTGATCCCATTGGCCTTATTCCAAGCTCCATTTTCCCTATTTGATTGTACTAATCTCCTTTTTGTACATACATATTTATCTGATACCTGAATTTTAACACAACAAAAAAAAACTCACTGATTTTGAAGAAAAGTCTTGGAATTTGGAATATGGTAAATGGCAACACAGATTCCGATGGTGAAGAGGAGTTGGAATCCGACGATACCGAGCACTTTTCGGAGGAAGGCTGAAAAAATAGATAATATTGAAGTTGTTAACATTAAAGTATTTGTTCAGGAGCAAGCGAGGTTGTAAACTTCGAAAATCTTTTTTCTTTGCATGACACAGCTGGTATTTGGAAAAAAAATCAAACTTGTCATGGACACAGCCGGGCTAGGCCAGGACGAATATTAAAGATTTCTGGCTCTGCCTAATTTTCGAAATATTAAAAACTGTGAAGCTATTATTCTTGTTCGGCATCGGAGCGTCTTTGAATCAATCTTTGACCATAAGGTTCATCGGAGCTGGACAAGAATGATAGCGGAAAAGTCGAGTATCGTTCCCAATGGTTCGAAAGCGAAAATTCGACAAACCATTGGAACAAAGTTTTTCAATAAGCAGTTCGCTGGCCTAGCCGAGCTGGGCTACCTGGTCTGCTCGGGATTTGACAAGTGAACCCTTGACATAGCTGAAGCGCACACCGCAATCGGGAAGCTCAATCAGTCTCTGTTTGGTGTCATTGATTAGTTAATTAAGTTACAATGCAGAACTGGTCAAATTACCTGAGGTAGAATATCAGAGCCACATGAAAATTCTGACCATGTCTATTAGGTTGGCGGGAAAGTCTTTGTCACTCTGTTTGTTTAATCACTGTTCTCGTATATGGAGGCTGTGTATGATATCGACTCTAGTGAATAACAAGGTGATAAGAACCTTCCATATAAACAAGTCCCCATTTCCTTCCCTGCTCCTTATCTGTAATTGAAACGATATGTTTGTTCCCACTGCTATTCACATCAGACATGTTTTGATTTACCTCTTCCTATCTCACACCACGATGAAGGATTCGGAAACTTTCTTGAAGAATGTGTACAACACACATGCCCCTCACTACAATACTATTCGCAATTGGTTCCATCGTTTCGAAAAAGATGACTTCTCGCTCGATGAAAAGGATCGCTCTGGGAGACCCCGTGAGTTGGATTTGGACAAGCTGAAGCACGCATTGCAATCGGATCCATTTCAATCTAGCCGTGAACTAGCTGTCACATTCGGAGTTCACCATAGCACAGTCCTTGAAGGTTTGAAGTCTCTTGGAATGAGAAAACTTTTTGGTCGATTCATACGTCATCACCTGACTCAAGCCAACCTTGACCGCCGAGTCGACGATTCGATTACTCTTCTCACTCTCCACGCGGGCGATCGATGGCTGGACCGGCTAATAACCGGAGATGAGAAGTGGGTCTTCTACGATAATCACCACAGGAAATCCCAGTGGGTTGGAGAAGGAGAGAGCCCACAGGATGTCCCCAAACCCGACCTTCATCCGAAAAAAGTTATGCTCTCTGTGTGGTGGGGAGTGGACGGCCCCATCTACTGGGAACTTCTGCCCGAGGGCAAAACAATAACTGGAGACCTCTACACTACTCAACTACGAAACCTCAAGAAAGCAGTCGACCGTTCGGCCCTGAAAGACAAGAAAGTGTACTATCAACATGATAACGCTCGCCCACATGTTTCGAAACAAGTGAAGCAGGAGCTGATGGGATATGGATGGAATGTTCTCCCTCACCCCCCGTATTCTCCTGATCTTGCTCCTTCCGACTATTGGTTATTTGGCGATATGACACGTGCCTTCGAAGGAAGAAGCTTCAATTCCCGTGGAGCGGTCGAAGCGGCACTCAAACAATACTTTGCCTCACGCCCGGCTGGATTCTACCGCAATGGAATCCATAAATTGAGGGAACGTTGGAGACATGTTGTTGATAATGATGGACAATATAATTAATTATTCGGTTATTTTTTCTTTGAGAAATAAACTATTGAAAAAGTGACAAAGACTTTCCCGCCAACCTAATACATAGCACCTGCTATACATTTTTCAACCATAACAGCGTTCACTGTTTTAATACTCATGGATATCGGATTCCTTCTCCGGGACCATAACCCTATTCATGTTTGCTCCTCTCACTGTTTCCAGGACGTCTTTACAACACTCACCAATGCGAATCATACGATTGGCTTGACCAACACATCCAGGAAGAATTCCATCGGAAGCCTCGAGAAGTCCAGCTTCGGCGTGCGACGAGTTGGTCAAGTTGGATGGCCACATTTGAGGATTTCTGGAAACAAAATTCGTTTTTCTAATAAAAAATTCTAGCTGTAGAGTTTGCCAGTCTGCTGGTGAATTTTCTGAGAACTGAATTCTCACCTCTTGACGTGCACCTCATCCTCATAGTCGCTATCGTCATGGTCTTCAAGTAAGTTGACCTGGAAAATAAAAATTCTATAAGACAGTCTGAACACTTTGAAACAATTTTCAAAAAAGAATGGATGATGGTTTTTCATCTCGTTGGGACTGAATACAAGACTTTAACGCGAGTTGCTTTTTTTCTGATTTTCGGAGCATTTTTCTGGCATAAACCAAAAAATGTAACTGTTCAAGGACTGAATCCGCTGCTGTCGAATCTTCCAAGTTTGCTTTTGTTATACATTTCATTTTAATGCGAAACAACGGTTAATTAGAAACTAAAAAATCACATGTATACGTATTTTATCGATTTTCTCGGAATTATTGGAATTTTGAGTGCTATTCGATCATTTAAACATTAAAAAAAAGTTTTATCAATCAAAAACTTTTACTTACCCTCTCAGGCTCAGAAGGTGGTTGCTAGTAGCCGCCATTGATCGAGTTGGTTGGTAAACTGCAAAATATGAAATAATATGTGACGAAATCGGCGAAAACAATTTATAGAAATAAATGACAGCAAAGAACCAAAGACTGAACGAACAGAGAAAAAATAATCGATACACTGGCGGTGTGAGACACAAAAAATTGGCTAGTAAACGAACGATTTGGTAAAACAATCATATAAAGGAGAAAAACGAGAAAAACGAAGGAAACGTTGTGACGTGGGGGCAGCGAGTAGAAGAACAAACGAGGAAATAGGGTGAATAAAGAAGAGACGCAGACACAACTCACGTCACATTGCCCCTGCCTCTCGAGCGCGCACTAGCGGGGCCTCTCTAAGACAGAATTATTGATGTTCCATGAGATAATAATGAGGACCACTGGTTGAGTAGAGAAAACAACTAATTTATCTTTTCCTTTCTTGGATTTCCGAACGAAATTAATCAGTGAAAACGGGAAAATGGCAGTTCTAACTCTAGAAAAATCATTTTCGCTCACAGGAAAATGACTCAAAGTTATTGTCTATTCAATAAAACGTTTATCNGATCTGCCCCTTTTTGTAACCTTCTGAACGTATTCCGATTCCTCCATCTGTTTTTCCTCATGCTTTGCCACTGTTTCCGCAATTTCGTCCGCCTTTGTACAGAGAGCATGAAACATTTTCTTGAAGTCTTCGTCACTGATATCATTTTCGGGATCGTGCTTCAAACGAGGCAGCAACGTATTGAATGATTCCAATTTTTGNTGAGATACGGTAGAAAGTGTTTTCCGGCTCGAAGCTTCAGTTCTCTTGGATGTTTTCTTGAATTTCTTAACGTCTGGTTCTTCTTCTTCTTGATCGGATTCTTCCAGTATCTTATTTTTTCATTCCTCAAGTTTCTTGGACTTTCTCTGAAG